AAACTCATACATACTCGTAGCCCGGTTTGGTCTGGTTTTGGTGTGGTCACAACACATTTTAGATGTTAAGTATAGTATTGCACTAAGTGGTAGGGGTACCCATACCACTTGGTCCGGTCACTAGAGGTTGGCACTGGCCACCCGCTACCATCCATTAATTATTGTACCAAAATTCTGATCTTTTTTCTATATTTACCGTTAATAGTGCATTTTTAGTGGGCCTTTTTATTTTTCCAAATTCTTTTGCCGTTACTTTCTTCCCAAATGGGCACCATGCTTCACCGCGCACAGGCAGAGATCCACCGCAGATTGAACTCATACCTTCTTGGTCCTCCTGGAGAGGCCCGCTGCCCTGGCCCTTTGACGAACCGTCCATCAGGGTGCCCAGCACACGTCCACCCTCCTGCCCTCCCTCCCTCCCCCGCTTTGGCCTCCTCGCCTTTGTGGGCCACACCCATTACACGCCGGGCCACCGGTCATTCGCCACGGCACCCGCCCATCAGTTTTGACCTTGCTTTTGCACCGTGCATGGCAGGCTTGCAGGCCCTACTTCCCGTATTGTGGCTGCCTGCGGCTCTGGAAGCCTCAAGGCCGGCAAACCCCGTTCACTCGTCCGCGCGCCCCAAGGGATGGCGAAGCGGCGACCTGCAGGTCACACACTAGACCGCGTCACTGTCACTAAAAAGAACACTTCGGGTATTGTCGCAGAACAAGTGAGAACCCACCGACCGCCATGTCGCAGAAATGATGAACGTTGTGGCAGTAACGAGCATCATTGTCGCAAAAAAGAACATGTCGGAAAAAAGAACAATTTCGCTGTCGCAGAAAAAATAGTGACCCCAGCCATCGGCGAGCACGGCGCCAGCGGGGTATAAAGCACAGGGCCATCGCCGCCGCTGGAGTCCGTACGCGAATCGGCTGCGTCCAGCCCGCGTGCGGCGCGCCTCCAACCCCTCGCTCCGCACGACCCCCCTCCCACCGCCTCTTGCGCCTCCCTCCTCCCCAAGCCGCCTGCGGTCGCCTCTCCTCGCCGGTGCCCTAGCCAAGCGCTTCAAAATCCCGCACCGGCGTTTGCCAAAACAGAGCCGCAAATGGCGACCATGCCGCGCATCGCCTCGGGCTTCCTGAGCAGCATGTCCGCGGGCGTGGTGGTGGGTGCCTTTCCCTCGAGTGCCTGCCCTCTTAACAAACCATCCATACGCTTCCGCGGCAACCTTGGGCGCTTCAGGGAACGCCTTGGGCCCCTCTGCCGTCGCGTCGCTATCGGCATCATTAATCGATCGGCCCGTTTGGCGGCGGTCGCGCGCAGGTGATCAAGGTGGGGACGTCGAGCCTGGTGGACGTGGAGGGCGGCGTGCTTCGCCTGAGCAACCTGGCGAGGATCTGCGAGACCGCCAAGGAGCTCCGTGGACGAGGTGCGGGCGTGGTCGGGCGCCGGGCGTCGCGCGATGACGTTCGCCGCGAATCTTCCGGCGACGCATCCTGGCGCGCGGCGGGGTCGCGGCAAGGAAGCGGGCGCCTTTCGAGGTTGGGACGTGGGGGAGGCGATTTGGCTCGCGGGTCCCGCGCCCAGCCGGACGTCTTTGCAGTAGATTTGCGCACGTGCCGCAACAATGGCGAAAAGTGAGCGGCAACGTCCAGGGTGGTTTTGGCTGAAGCAGTGCCCCTCCTGACGCGCCTCGGAACGCTCTGATGGGTGCAAGGCGGAGGGGGCTAAGATTTATCACAAAGTGAAGCAGAAAGTGATGTACCAAGGCGGCCCCCTCCGAAGCAATTTGCGTGAGACTCTTTTCCATGCTGTGAGAAGATGATACGACGTCTCCAGTGCAACAAGAAGGCACACAACGCGAGCAGGGAAGGGGGAAGGGGGGGATTGTGTGTCCTGACGTCGTGCGGTGCGCCCTGGGCGCCAGGTTACGACGTGGTGCTGGTGTCCAGCGGAGCCGTGGGCGTGGGCTGCCAGAAGATCGGCCTGCAGGAGCGGCCGGCAAAGATGTCCCAGAAACAGGCGCTGGCCGCGGTGGGCCAGCCGCATCTCATGAAGTACTACCACGACTTCTTTTCCGCGCTGGGCATGGTGCGTGGCCGGCGCGGCCGGCTGGCCGCCAGGGAGCGCCGGCGGCGCCGCCGCTGACCATTGACCCCACGCCGGTGGTGGCGGCGGGAGATGTGGGACGGTCCAGATTGCGGTGGAGTCCGCGCGCGCTGCGCCGACTCAAACATGCTCGCGCCCTGTCGCGGGGAAGCATACTGCAATCTTTTGATTGCGAGTTTTCCCGCGCGTTTTGCTCCCGCGAGCGCGCGGGGGGGATTGCGTCCAACGGCGCGCTGAGTGCTGCCCGCCCGCGTGCAGACCTGCGCCCAAGTGCTGCTAACGAATGACAGTTTCGTGGAGCTGGCGGAGTACCTGAACGCGAAGAGCACATTCAAGGAGCTGCTCAAGTACGGGGCGATCCCGGTCGTCAACGAGAACGACACGGTGGCAACGGACCACATCAAGATAGGCGACAACGACACGCTTTCCGCCAAGGTGTGCGGCGCGCTGGTTGCTTGTTGCTCGAAGAAGCGTTGGGTTTGTTCGGGATCTGATTGAAAAGAACTTTTGCCTCGGGCGCCTCGCCGGCTGGCCATGCATTTGTGTAAGAAAATAGCAAAGGGATTCTGATGGACCCATCCGGGCTTAAGGCTGTGGGCTCACATTGGGTGCTGAGCTTGTTCTTTGCACGATGTTATGTGTTCATCTTGAAAATACATCGTTGTGGATGTGTCTTGCACAGTGCGTGCATGTTGCAACACATGCACATGCATGATATTTCGCTAGAATTGTATATGTCTCAACAAGTGCAAGCGTTGGGTGTGCGGACAGGGTGTTTCTGGCCGCATTATGTGTGAAAAACCCTTCTTGCGCAAAAAGCATCGATGCCCAGGATGGGCAAGACCACCAGTCCTTGCCCAAAAGAGTAGCAAGAGTTTGACAATGTTGTGTGTCGAATGGTCCTTTCAGGTGGCCATCATGGTGGAGGCCAGCTGGCTATTTCTGATGACTGACGTGGAGTGCTTGTACACATCCAATCCCCGCGTAAACCCTGACGCAAAGCCCATCCATGTGGTCAATGATATTCGACAGCTGCATGTGGAGACGGGGTCAGGCACACAGTGGGGCAGCGGAGGCATGGCCACAAAGCTCACAGCAGCCAGGCTCTTCACGGCGGCAGGGGGCAGGATGGTGAGAGGACTGTTTGTTGGCACCCATTTATACAAGAATGGAGACAAAAACATGGTTGTCAGTGCTATAGCCAAACACTCAAGTAAAGGTAGAATGAATGTGTGACTACAGAAATGACTGACAAAGTATTGTGGTTTGTTCTTTGGTACTTTACTTGTGCACCAGACTTGGTAGTTGTGTGTAGCCAAGCGCCCACTTTGGCCCTGCAAGGGTGTTTGATCAATTTGAATACACTTACAGACATGTGACCAAGGGCCACACTTGCGCCTGCATGGCAAAGATGGGGGAAATACTGCTGTTCCATGTGTCAGTTTGAGAGTTCTGGTTCATTTCCCCTTGCTCTAAAGCAGTTGACTTCGGGATGGGGTAGGTAAACAGCATTTCGGCAAATCGTTGGTTGCGAATGTGGTGTTTTGTTGGAGAGAAGGTTGAGTGATGTCCTGTTGGAAAGTCCACCCTGATTTGCCACATAGTAGAGTGCGCTTGCTATTCCTTCCAGCTGAGGGCCATGCAGGGCAGTTCGAGATGGTCGCATCTTGTTCCATTTCGATTGTGTCACAGTTCTTATGACATGGGAAATCTAAATGCCAAGCATCACTATTGATTGGTGTCAGGGTGGGAAAAGATAGTGAACCAGGGGTGAGCAAATGAGTTTGACGACATTCAGTGACGTTGTGGCACAGGCTGTCTGTGAGTCCACAAAGCCTGAGAGCATTGTGCAGATAATGAATGGGGAACAGGTTGGCACTGTTTTCAACAGCATTGGCGCACCGTTGTCCTCAAAGAGGAGGGAGAGGAAGAAGTGGATACTGAGCGGTAAGGCACGAGGTCAATACATTTGTTATGGGGGTATTGCTGTGAGTCACCATCTTTTGTGCTGGGTGCCATTTTCGTACCATCTCGTCCAGATCTGTGAAGGTAGCCAGTGTCCTGTTCTGACGTGTCCGATTGCAGTGCATGCATCAGCCCAACTCTTTTGCTTCACTTTGGCATCCCATAGTTTTAATGCACAAGCAGTTCTCCCATTTTAATTTCCTGTGAAATATTCAACCCTTCTGCATAGTAATGCAACGTCTGGCCTTTTAATGCGGATCAATAGTGAAAACGTAACAGTGCCAAGAATCTGTGCAGCAGTTCCAGCTGCAACATGAGGGTCTCTGGACTGCTTGTGGCATCTAGCAACCTGAGATGCACGTGTCGCTGTGGTGGAAAACCGACTTTTGAGGCCATGTGAACTGAGTTGAGTCGCCATTCCAGTGGTTACCATAATGCAAGAGCCCACGAAATAACGGTCTGTCAAAATAATGCAGAACAAAAATAGTAGTGGTGAATTTTCTTATGTGGAAGGGTTGAAGATTTCGTTGTATCCACAGAAAACATAGTTTGAGCCTGTGGGCAGTACTCCTGATCCAGGTGCTTTTGACTGTCGCCCTATTTATGTCATTACTCTTCGACTGAAATGGCACCTTGCTGCAGTTGCATGAGCATGCACACTGTTGAACGTTCGGCTCTGGGGTGCTATTGAACAGTGAGGTACATATTCTGGGTTCCCACAAGTTGTCACCCTGTTGGCCTGTTGCGCAACGAACTGTCACATCTCCCTGTTTGCCTGTGGTTGCAGTTTCTGTGAAGGGTCAGATCTGGATGGACGATGGCGCATTGGATGCCGTCTACAACTCCCATGCATCCCTCTTTGCTGCCGGCATCACCCGTGTCATTGGCGATTTTGGAGCCATGGTGAGTGCAGGTGTCCTGGAGTCAAACTGCTTTTCCCAGCTCTTCCTTTTTGCTGCTTAGTGCTCCATGGCGCGCTGTCAGCAATGTCAGCAGATTTGAATGTTGCTAAATTGGATGGATGATGCCAGAAAATGGCAGTCATCAGCAGATATTTGTGTCTTTGTCCATTTCCCTCAACTGAACGTTTCTGGAATCGTTGCAGGACTCTGTGGCACTTTGCAGCTCGGATGGGAGTCAGTTTGGTGTCGGACTCTCCAATTATACCCATGAGGTGAGTTTCTTGCAATGTGCCTGTGACCCCCCTTGTTTCTTGTGGAGTGTGTTTCTGAGGGCTCGCATAGTGGCGAGTAGCGCGGGAGGTTTGTTTCAAACTACTTGGGGTTTGGCTTTGTGATGTGATCAATAAGGGCTCACTTTATTTTGGCACCTTGTACCGGCAATGAACCACAGGTTGGACTGGCCAGCGCGTGCATGGCTGGTGAGGACGCAGCACAGTCTGCAGTGCAAGCAATGCGGCTCTCAGCACGGACCTGTTGCTCAAACAGAACACAGAACTGCCCCGCGTGTCACTGAGCCTCCAGTCAGGCAAACGTGAGACGTCTGTTTTGTGATAGATGTTGTAGCTTGTTGTGCCAACAAACTACACCCTGGTGTTGGCACCTTTGCCATTTGGGGACTGCCTGGCTGTGGGATCACAAGCATATTTTGTGTGGTTCTCAATCTCTTGGTCACACTGTCACGAATTTGTTGCCTTGTCACGGTTGCCACCCATTGCTGTCATGTGCACTCTGCCTGTTGCACTGTCAAAGCCATATCTAGCATGGAAGCATGTAAAACTGTGTGGAACCACAGACGTATGAATAGAAGTACTGTGAATAGTGGTGAATGTGGCTATGGTCTATTTCATCTGCAGCGTTCCAGTCTGCATGAAGGGTTTTGTTGCTTGCGCCTTCATTGCTTTGGCATTCCAACTCTCCCCATGGGATGGTCAGTGCGTTCACCTCCTTTTATTTGAAGATGATCCTGCTGTAAAAGAATAACAGGAACTCAGGATGCCAAATGAGCTTGATGTGCGTATGTCGACGCAGTAGCTTGTGTCAACATAGTAGCTTGTACAGTGGCGCTGTGAGACATGTCTTCACTGTCAAATGTCGTTAACTGTTCCCCCAGAGCTCGACAAGAAGAATGTGGCTCAGTCACCCATTCCATTGCGTTGCTCCCTACCAAGACGTCCTTGCGTTCTGTCCTTTTGAGAGCTTAGGAAGTGAAGCGCAACGAGCTTCGGTGATCTTCACATATGCATTGGGCAGCAGTGCCTTTGGCTCCAAGTGTCAGGAAATGATTATGCAGCCTACTCATTACCGCCTTAGGTGATATTGAGTGCCGTGAGCAAAGATACCGCCATGCCTTCCATGCCCAGTGGCCAACCCTCGCAGGGGCGAGCGATTGGAGCTTAACGGGCAAGTACTACTGAGACTGACAGACGGCGTTTGTTCTTGTCCAGGAAATTCGAAAGGTAAAGGGCAAGAGGTCCAAATGGTTTGCCGATGAGTTGAGCGGCTACATGTCGGAAGAAATGGTTCACCAGAATAACATATGCCTGCTGAGCAACAACGGGGATTCGAACGGGGAGAGTGATTCGTCTTCATGAACGTGATGAACCTCAATGGTTAACAGATTTTATTTTCATCCCACATCTTGCATCAGATTGCAGATGTTCATTGGTTTTCACATGGGAAAGGCAGGGTTTTGCCTTCAAGGAACAATTACATAGTCTGTTGGCAAGTTCATTGGGTTACCAAAGAATGCGAATTGAGTGCCTGGGCCTGTTTGTCGCACATTGCGGCATGCGCTGAGTCACTTGGCGAGGAAGAGCACAGACACGGTCCTGGGGTCCGTGGGGGACGTGGCGCCAGCGTCCACTTTTTTGGGCGTGTCCCGTGTGCACGCCATGGAGAAGACCGTTTGCGTGGGACACGATGGGTGAACAGAGGTCGTGATTTTGTCAGTCGGATGTGTGGGGCGGTCGGGACACGTTGCTTGATCTGCATGATGAGATTTGAGTTTTTGCCCCTGAGATTTCTGTTGTGGCTGTGGCGCAGAGGTGTGCCCGGACTGCCGTTTGTTTGGTGTGGGTCCGGTTTAGGTATGGGTCCCACACATCCGTTCCGGTAGGTCCGGTTGCCGTACTTGACATAGATACGGGTCCAACCGGAACAATTGGTACAGGTACCGGACCAGCCTTAGGTCCGCACCCGTACTTAAGTTGCTACAGGAACAGCGATTTTGCGGCCTTCACAAACCTACCAAAACACATCAGAATTTCACAAAAAAAATGTCACAATGTTTCAATTTATGTCTAGTTCGTGCTCCCAAATTTTTGAGTCAACCCGATTAGTAGTCAATCTGCAATACCATTCTAAATAGACCCCACTTGTCAGAAACTGGACCAAACCGGACCATGAATACAGGTCCGTACCACTGGTCCAGTGACCCATACCAGCGGTCCGGTGGACCCGTACCAGTGTGGCCTGGTTTGATCTGGTGGCGGGTGTGGGTCCGGGTCGGTACAGGTGATTGGACCGGGTGCACACCGCTGCTGTTGTACCACTGGCAAGGAACTGCTTACCAACCCTGATTGCCCAAAGCAGGATAGTCATTAGTGGCGCTTTATGGATCTGTAGATATCAACACAAACGGACAGTCCAATCCAAATGCAGACTTGAACATTTTGCTAAACATGAAAAGGAGGAAGCCACTTAGAACTTGGTGTTCTTGTCGCTCAATGTACGCTTGAAAGAGGGCGGATAGTTTGGATGCTAAGAGATTGCTAATGGCAATTTGCCATTTGTGCTGAATTGTTCAATTACTTGCACGGGTGGTTCAGTCACAAACATCCCATAGCACTCATGTTTTCACCATCTTGTGCAATCAACCGGGGTTCCCATAACCATTTGTTTTCCTTCTGAGTCGTCAAGATTAGTTGGCCCTCAAATGTACCCGCCTTTTTCATGCCCTAGATTGGTATGTCTCATTGCTACCCTAGGGATGTGCAATTGGGTAATTTGTGTGTCTACTACCTTCCTTCCATGGGTTCGGTCAATATCTTTCTCAAAACTTTCTAAAGGACTCAGGCATTTCCATTGGTACCTACCTGTTGTGTAGACTACCATAAGCAGCCGGTTTACTCGAGTTATACATTGGGGATGATGACACACAAGAGATTGTACTTTAATTAGACAAAGAAGGTTTTTAGCTTTCCATAGGTATTTGAATCATCCCAAACGGGTTAGTGGAGTTATAACCTATTGAAATTCCAGTACTTAAGGATTGGCCCCTATCATACTCATGGATGAGATACTATCTATACAGGTACATTTGATATGTTGTTCTGTCAGCTGTGTACTGCTGCGTGTGGGAGTCATGTGTCCGACCCTGCACTGCAGCCTGTAATTCCATCCGTGCCCACTCCATTCCCATGTGCACGGCTGCCCCGTGCTCAGCCGTTCCATAGGCCTAGGCCCGCACTGCACATCCGAAGAGATGAGCACCTTGGAAAGCCCACTGGCAATCCAGCGGAGGGGGCCCCGCGGCCCCATCGGAGCCCTCGGTGGGCCATCACCTGCAAACCAACCAAAACCATGCCAGGTGTTTTCAGAACCAAGGGGCGCAGACAGTGCAAGCACACCACGAGGCACGAGAGCAAGAGGGGGGAGCCCCACCCATGAGGGGGCCCTTCATTCTGTTAGATCTTGGGGATGTCGGCCGGCCAGGTGATGGCGCCCATGAGGGGCGCGCCCTGAATTCGCCTGGATTGGTGACCAGGTGGGGCGCCTAGCAGAGGGGGAGGCGCAATTGGTGCATTGCAGAAGGAGCCCGGCGGGAGGGGAGAATTGCCCCACAGAGCCCACCGCAACTGGGTTAATTGGAGGTGTTGCATCGCCACATAATTGCATGCAGAACCGGCGGTGGGATGGCACAAATTGGGAGCACTAGCCCCTAGCACGGGCAGGCACAATAGGCCACGTGGGCCATCGAGTCAGACGGCGGGGAGTGCCAGGACCCCAGAGGGGAGTGGGGCGCAGCAGCAGAGCAGACTGACCACACGTGCTCCGACCCGGGTCGTGCAAGAGCCGACTGGACTGTGCTTCATATGTGATGTGTTGGATGGCCATCATGTGTGACTGCCTTAAACGGCTGGTGAGTCACGGCCACGTATACTTACTCTAGAGAATATGTCCAATCCAGATCCCCAAGCAAAGGGATCCCAAAGACACACAACAAACTATTACTATTCCAGCTGCAAATGGACTGAGCTGATGACTGGACCAACAATCACACCCGTTACAGGCTGTGACGTGTTGGGTGCTGCTCCCCTTTCCCGTCTGTTCTGAAAACGCCTTATGCGCTCAGAGTTCCACAGGAAATTCAACTGCCCTTTCAATCTGGATATCTCCCTGGCCAGACTGGCAAGCTGGAGAGATTCCCCGCGCATAAATGACAGCAAGTTACACTTAAACTGTTTGAACACCCATTGAAACACTCTTGTAAGGCGCGCGGAAATAATGGGACCACAAATGAGTAAGTTTACACTGAATAGTGTCAGGAACAGACCACCTGCAACTTTCCAGAATTTCAACAACTGGTTGGTGTTGATGAAAATGCCCAGCCAATCCTTCGGGCTGGTACCTTGGCTACGTATAGTGCCCAAGGATACTAGCACATCATCAGCATACACTTTTACGTCCAGTTTTTCTTTAATTTAGAAGAAAGATCTTAT